GGGGGGTGCAAATCGAAAGTTTGTCCCCGGGTAAAAATTGGACCCCCCCCCCCCTTGAGACGATCCTGGCTACGCCATTGGCGTTTACACTTGCGACATGTATACTATACATTTCTAGAAAAAAAAAACTTCGCAATAAGTGAGTAGGGTCCCCTATATCTTAGGCCCTATAGCGTTTTTTTTTAGACATGTATAGTATACATGTCGCAAGTGTAAACCAGAGGCGTAGCTAGGGGAGGGCGGCCGCCCCGGGCGCCGACCCTAGAGGGGCGCCAAAACGGGTAGAAAAAAATATTTAAAAGCTCATTTTAAGCTGCAGTTTAGAATTATAAACAATCAAAGTTTATGAAATTTAACGGCTGAGAGCCTTAGCTTACTGATTTAGCTGTTTTCCACCTTGATTGTGTAACTGTAAAACGTATGTCCTTAAGATACAGTGACCGGAAAAAAACGCTTTCCAGCTTTCCTAGATGGCGGGGGGGGGGCGCTTTTTCGCAGACTAAAATCGGAAAAATTCACACCAGATTAAGGAATAAATAAACGATATCACCCAGAAAAGAAACCTTTCTACTAAAGCGCATTTTGTGTAACATAAAACAAGTTAATTAAAAAAGTCTAGTGACATTTATGCGCAATTTCCTTATGTTATCTAAAAATAGCTCTGACGTATAATGCTGGGATGCGTTCAAGCTAGAAGAACGATCGGTTTGTAGGTGTTTATGTAATTTTAAAATTTGTGACCGAACGAGAGGATATTTTTGAAAACTTTCTTCGGCAATATTGTTCTAAATTATGGCAGGAATCGATTGGTACATGTTTCAAGTCGCTACGTGGTCTGGTTGCCGAGATATGGGCCAAAAACTGCATTTTTTCGAGGTTTTTTGGCTTTTCCGGGAAATACATGAAAGAAACCCGCAATTTTTATGGCCTATGCTCATTCTCGTAACTTGCTTAACATAGTTGCTTTTGGAACTAGTCATCGATATTGCTTCGTTGAGGAGGAGATACGACTTAAAGCCCGGACACACATTCATCCATACATTCATTCATTCATTCATCCATCCATTCCCAGAAATGACGAGTTAATAAACGCAATTCTCCAGAATGGAAATTGCGCTAAAAAGAGTTAGTGAATCCGCTCTACCATTTTTGTCCAAGATGATGGGGCGCTTTTTCACCAACAAAAACCGCAGGATTTGTACTGGATAGGTTACTAGTTAACACTTTGAAAAGAACCAATTGTACTAATGCTTAATGTACGATTTCACTACACAGTTTTGCTAAGGAATGACGCGAATAGTTCTTTGTACGATTCTTACGATTCTCTCAACTTCAATGTGAGAGATCAGATACTTTTACTTGATTGCATTACATCTTACCTAGATCACTGCAGCTTGCACCTTCTACAAAATACACTCTAAAACAGTGGTTCTTAACTTTTTGGAGGTATCGAACCCCACCAGTTTCATATGCGCAATCACCGAACCCTTCTTGATAGTGTATGACAAAATCCGATCGTGAATCAAATGAGTCGGCTGTGTCCTGAGACTGAATTACCGAACCTCTTGGGTTCGATGGAACCCACTGTTCTAAGGAATATAGGCGTAGGCAACACTTCGTCAACTCACTTGATTTTTATAAAGATCGAACCCTAATAATCCAGCCGCCCTTTTTCTATTTCAAACAAATTCCTTTATGGCTTATTTGGTCTTTTTCTCTTCCTCTTTCTCCGTGGACTTCACACAAGCACCTGCATAGTGACGTTATTTTTTGTCTTCCTCATATTGTGTCCTAACCACCACCTTTTCATTTTCCGCTTTCTTTAACCTAGCTCCGAGCCGTACAGTAAAAGATACATCATATTCAGCTATAGATCCTGATTGAATAATTTGACAATGCATTTGAATTCCACATCGACTTAGAATGTTAATACGCATTTTATCGCTCCTGATTCTAATCTGAACGTCATGGACGTCATCTATTATCATTAAACCAATTATTCCAGCTTCTTCAACCAGAACAATTAATTCTGAATTTGTTGTTGACTGTGTGCGAGAAGGCAGCGCACATATGATAAATCCAAGACTTCGAGCTGTTGTGTCCGTTGGATTCCAGTTTGTTTCCTCTTGCTTGTTTCATTATACAATCCACCAGTCAACGAAATACCCATATTGTATTTCAATGTGAACAATAATTTGCTATTGTATGTCAATTGTATGACCTTATCTAACAAGCTTAAAAATAATCCAAATATGTACTATATCATAACAGAGACTGTTCCAAAGATAAAACATAAAAAGACTGTCCTAAAATAATTAGCACCGCTACAATTTTTATCTTTTTTTCTGACATTACTAATCTTCATTTTTAAAGGATAATGCATCTTAAGGGGAATTTAATTGGCGCCGAGTAAAGTTTTAGAGAACGACATATATATATATATATACATATATATATATATATATATATATATATATATATATATATATATATATATATATATATATATATATATATATATATATATATATATATATATATATATATAGGGAGGGGCGCCAAAATGAAAGTCCGCCCCGGGCGCCGTGAGGGGTCGCTACGCCTCTGGTGTAAACGCGGTATAAGGCATCGTTTTCTCGAGACGTAGAAAAACGTATTCAAATTTCACAAGGATCTTCTCAAGCAGCATGTGCTTCTATTTTCTTTAGTCTAAAACCCGGAATACGTACACCTCTACCCTCCACCCAGAGGCGTAGCGAGGGGGGGGGGGCGGGGGGGGGGGACATATGTACCCGGGCGTGACCTTAGGGGGGACGCCAAATTGACAGTTTGAGGGGGGGTGCAAATGAAAAGTTCGAGGGGGGGGGGGTGCAAATCGAAAGTTTGAGGGGGGGGTGCAAATGAAAAGTTCGAGGGGGGGGGTGCAAATCGAAAGTTTGTGGGGGGGGGTGCAAATGAAAAGTTCGAGGGGGGGTGCAAATCGAAAATTTGCTCCCGAGGGGGGCGCCAAATTGAAAGTATGTCCCCGGGCGCCGGGAAGGGTCGCTACGCCTCTGCCTCCACCCCCTCCTAATGGCGAAATGTACAAAACATTTATCTTCTATATGAGGGAGGGTTGGGCTCTATACTAAGGGGCTGTCCTTAAGTCACACTCCAAGTGGAAATAGGGCTTTGAATTTGTGTGACGTGAGGAGGGGGGGGGATCAGAGAGTGTAAAAATACACACTTACTTTTAAAAATGAAAAAGCTAGAAACTGAAATTCAGGCGTTGTTTCGTTTTTGTTTGTTACTTTCTCGTATATACGAAGTATAGAGAAAGTCTTGTAATCGTGCAAAAAAAAAATCGAGATTTTTGCAAATCTCGACGTTTTGCATCTCACTGATACGGAAAAACATAATTTTGCAATCTTGTCCGTATGTCTGTGTGTCTGTGTGTGTGTGTGTGTGTGTGTGTGTGTGTGTGTGTGTGTCCGTGTGTAAACACGATAACTTGAGTACCGTTACAGCTAGGTTGATGAAATTTCATATATAAGTATTTAATCAAAATCGTAGATCCGTATCAACTTTTGAGCGATTTCCGATAACCGGAAGTGGTACTTTTCCTACTTTGAAATTTTCAAAAGCCTATAACTTGAGTACTATTTCAGATAGATAAATGAAATTTCATACGTAAGTAAAAGATCTAATTCTCTACCTTCTATTAAATTTTGAGTCATTTCCGTTGACTGGAAGTAGTACTTTACGCTACTTCCGATTTCTCAAAAAACTAATGTAAATTTTAAAAGTAATAATAATATTGCGCACTATTATGCGCTTTTTTATTTCGCGTTCACTTGGTGTGCAATTAATTTGTCTACGAGATTTTATTCTATTTTTAAAACTTTAAGTATTTAAAATGGATTAAAAATCATGTCTATAGCCCGAGTTCCCATCCCCTGTTATTTTATATAAGAATATTCGAGAAAGTTTAGGGGAGATCACTCCCGTTTTTTTTTTATTTGTTCTAGGCTTTTAGCAAATTGCAAAACAAAGTGATCAATATATGCAATGTTGACCGAGGTCCGAACTCAGTAAATATTATAGATAAACAAACCGCTGTTTTAACTACAAAAATTGAATGACGGGTAGTAGGCTACGGCGTCATTTTAAATGGGGATAGTCTGGCCTTTGTGAGGGGATATGTTAAATCGTTTTTAAACTAATAGCATCACGTTGTTTATCGATCACCCCTAAGAGAGCTTTGGTAAACGGAAAATTTAATTTAACGTTTTAAAGTCGGGTGGTAGAATCAGAGGCGTAGCGACCCCTCCCGGCGCCCGGGGACAAACTTTCAATTTGGCGCCCCCCCCCCCCCTATATTTTTTACATTTATAATTCAAAACTGCAGTTAAAATTAGCTTTTAATTTTTTTTTCCAACTTATTTAGGCCATCCTAGGGTCGGCGCCCGGGAACATATGTACACCCCCCGTCGATACGCCTCTGTATCAACAATTCCCAAAGAGTAAGAATTAGGGAATGTAATTGATATGAGTAAAGCCTATGTCACACTAACACAGAAAACCTGACTGCCCCCCCCCCCACCCCAGTATGTCATGTCACGCCATTAACTGACATTCCCCATCAACGGCGTCACTCTTCAAACGCCTATTGTGTCTCGCCATACGTTTTTTGTTAGTTTAGCACTTAAAACAGCACGAACTCATGTGTGTTGTTTGCGATGTCATTAATGATACTCTTCAAACAGTAATGACCAACGATGCTGTTTCATGGATCAACACGATGGTATTATAAACAGAGAACATATCAGTACGAGTTTATTCCTTTTAGATACTTCAGTGTTGTCAGTAAAATGCCATCTGTGTGGTTTATTTTTGTGCATTTTCTCTTGATGAATTTAAAAGGAAAAAAACATTCAGACTTGTACTTACAGCGAACTATAAATAGCCAGCTAATATCAGGAGGGACAAGATCAATGTACACGGATAATTTTCATATTATAATGCGAGAGGTCAACGCTTGTGGTTGGGACCATTTTGTTTTGTTTACAAGTACTGAAACAGGTGATCAACATGTTTTGCCGTTTTTGAAGAGTTTGCCGCCAAACAGACGTCTAATACATTACGAGTTGCCAGATAAGTTCGACAATTCTGAAGAGCTAAAGCGATTTCTATGGGACGCCTACAGCCAAAAACAGAGCAGAAATTTTATTTTTGTGTCCGTAGATCCCTCCGTGATTCTAGCCAGTGCTCAGCGAGTGTTTGACGAGAAACAGCGAGATGTGGGCGCTTTGATGGCACATGATGCCAGATTTCTTATCGTTTTAAATTCAAACCAAATTATATCGTTACGTGAATCAGTTCAAAACACAACACTGGATAATATTGCCGTTTTTGTTTTAGAGGAATCAATGTTTAATATTGCTGTCAAAGATGTGTTTACTTTAATGTGGAGACAACATAGGCGGAGGGAACTAGAGAAGCTGAACATGGAGGGTGAGGTCCAGATACCCGCAACTTGTAGAATATTCCCGAACACCAAGTTTGGGCTAAATGGCCGGACAATTCTAATCCTGGCCAAAGAGTGGCTATCCCACCTGTATACAGTGACCGACCCCACCTCTGGACGATTGAGCTACACCGGCTTGTACGTGCAGGTGATTGAAGTGTTGGCCGAGATGCTCAACTTCACCGTCCAGTTCACGCCTGACCCGGGGTTAGACAAAAACTTAACTTGGGAGAGATTCACAGACAGTGTCGGGGGGTCAGAGGTCGATATGGGCGCCACCACCTACATGACCAGTTCCCAAATCTATTACAACCACACGGTTTCGTTCCCACTCATAAGCAGCAACATCAGCGCCGTGTACATGAACTCTGCCAGACCGGAGATTAGCTCTCCACTCAAACTGTTCCAGGTCAGTGTTTACGCTTCACTGCTCTTAGCGCTCGTCTTCACAATGATGTTATACCTGCTGATTCTCTGGGTGTCACCTGAGGTTAAAGAACGCTCAAATAATATGCCCATTAGGAGATCTAAATACCGACACCAAATGCCCAGCAAAGAGCTACATAGCGTATCAACACAAACTGTATTCACTGAGTTAAGTACTATTTGCCCTGAACAAACCACTGGGAAAGACTTTACTAACATTAAAACTAATGTCCATACCCGTGGTGTCGTATGTACATCAGATAAAGCTTCATCTCAAACGAGTTACGTCAGTGAAAAGAACGAGACAAATGACACGAGTAAGTTTACTGAAGGCAGTATCAAACAAACACGAAAATCATTGAAAACTTCAAAACAAAGCTTGGCTATGTGCAGAAATGGAAATTCCATAGAACTGCTTGTTGCTTTATTTTTTACTTTCGTTGGTTCAATATTTACACAAGACAGTCTACCAACCCCATCAGACCAATCGGCACGTATCTTACTCTTTTCTTGGTGTCTGATGCTTCTTATTTTAACTGCCACCTTCACCGGTAATATAACAGCGGATCTGGTCGATCAAGGAAAAGTTATCCCATTCTCTACTTTAGAAGAGCTGATAGCAAGGGGAGATTATAAATGGGGTCTTTTCAATGAATCTTCTTTTTTAAACGTCATGAAGAATGCCAAAAATGGTTCTCTGTTAAAGGTACTTTATGATAAAATGGAACAGTTTGCCTTAACGGACCCGAGCGTCATCGGAACAATTGAAGACCAAATTCGTAAATTAAACACCGAGAGATACGTTACGTTTTTCTTTAGCAGCGACCGTGAATATTTAAACGAATTCTTGACTGACCCTTCCTCGCTTGTGTTTCTCAAAGATTATATTATGACCATTTATCTTGGATTTAATTTCCCAAAGAAGTCAAAACTTGCGAAGGTGGTCTCAGAGAAGATGATGCTGATGTCAGACATGGGTCTTTTGGAGTGCTTGGTGCGGAAGAACTTGAAATCCCAAAGTTCAAACGCTACGAGCACTGACGCAGACTTGTCTTTGAAGGTTGAATACATGGGAGGGCTGTTCTATTGTTGCGGGATAGGGGTGTTGATATCAGTAGCCGTGTTGTTGTTAGAGTGTGTCTACAGTAAAATGTGTCAGGTGATTCTACGACAAACAGAAAGACGTGGTTCTATTAAGACTGAACCATAATATTGTTTAATATGGAATAATGAACTGGTATTGTTTATTGACTAATGCGGTGTCAGATAACAGCTGAGGTTATTGTTTACAGTAGAAGTTTAAGGGGATTGTATGGTCAATACCTCTACCTCGATTAGATAAGTTTGTTTTCGACAATAATATCTTTTACAGAAAAGATTATTCCATCATATACTGTATATATATATATATATATATATATATATATATATATATATATATATATATATATATTGTGTTGTAATTTCTAGTTAAAAGAAAATAGCTTCGTGTGAAATGACTCTTATGTTTGAAATAAATGTATAGATAATACATTATATGAACCTTTTATAGGTCATATTTACTAAACATCTCGAAATTATTTCTCTGAAATTGCCATGAAAATGTGACTTCTTTCAGTTTTAGTCAATGTGTCTCAATCTATCTCTAATTTATTATTCCTTGTCTGCAATTTTAATGTCCATTTGTAATATTTGTATCCAATTTATAACTATTAAAATAAATAATAAATCATATTGTTTTAATGTGGGTTTTTTTTCAAGAATAAAGTATAATACAAGATTACACTGTTAAGCTCAACAGACTGTCTACCATTTTATCACAGTTTCTTGTTCTGTGTTTTACCATATCTTTATTGTGTTTTACCCCGTGTTTTGTTTTCTTTTTTTTTTAAGTGGTGTAATGTCAGATGTGATTTTTTGTTTAAAGAAATCGTTGGATCACGAATCAACATACAGAATCACCGAATGGTAGACTAGTATATAAATTATAAGCCCACTGTCTGATGTCGAGTAGTCTCAGGAGTCTGGTAGCCTCAAGACACAAAACACTAAAAGCTATGTACATCCAACTATCTCAACCATTTAACTCAAGAGCAATCCTAATAACGTTGCACTCTGCATTCGTTTATAAGCAATCTAAATATCATGAAAACAAACACCCCTCTTCACGCAGTGTTTCCTTAACGCTTCGAGTGAAAAGATCAAGAGCTCTAGTATTTTAATGGTGTTTTCGTTCGATGGCCTAAAAACTGAGTACACAACAAGATAGCAGTTATATGTGATCTGCTGGCCCTATAGTTCGTGTAAATAGTTTTTTTTTTTTATATATTCAAACATTTGAAACAAAATCTATCGCCTGTACATACCATGCATATGATACATTTAACACACATTACGTTAGACTGATGAATATAAATGCCAACGTAAATAACTTAAGCATTAACTATATATAATGTCATTGCACCAAGTTATTGCTAATGGAGTCGTTTTTTTTTTGGTACCCTTCTTTATATCTTCAACGCCATTTAGGCTATGCTAGGTTAACAGTGTGTACAAACATGCACCTATAAAATTTACATTATTGATTCAATTTAAGTGCTCCGTTTTTTTGCATGGTCAGCAGTTTATATTTTAGTTTTATAGAAGATATTTGAAATTTAAACGGCGGTAACCAGATATGAGCGCAACGGAAAATTGCGCACAAAAGAAGTACGCATGGGAATTTATTTATTTGTTAAATCGATAACCCAATCATGACTCGCAGAATGTAAACAACAAAGCATATGTACATTTAAAATGTAGCGTAATAAAACATCATTCATCGGAAAACCACCATACACAACAACATTACTAGAATGTGTTTATATTTACGATTTTCCAGAGTTAATTTTCGATTTCGCTTTTTTTTCCGTTGTGATTTCTTCCTTAATTCTCTTCAAAACTGACGTCCAGGGTTACGTTAGAGATGGATTTGAGCGATCATATATTCAACCGTAGTGTATGTTGCAACTTCATCGTAGTTAATCTGTGTTCAATATTTAAAAATATGTGATTTTTAAATTGGTCGGAGGACAAACGTGGTTTGAAATAAGACTAATTAGTAAATTTGAAATAGATGCCTAGGCCTACGTGTTACAGACTTAGCGTGACGGAGAATCATTGCATTTTCTTTCTTTCTTTCATTTTTTTTTTTTTTTTACAAAATCTACTTGGTCGCTCTGTTATGTTTCGGTATTAGGAGATACCTAGAAAATAAATATGTCAACAAACAAGATGGCCGGTTATCAACATAGGCAAGTAGAAAAGAAACGCCCATTAAAATTATTTACATTAATATAGATTCTTTTGTGTTTTTTATGTAACGCATTTAACCATTTCAGGCTAAAACAGTACGAAGAAATTCTGGAATCTGAAGTAATAGATTTAAAAGCACTTCGAGCCCTTTGTTTTTTAAATGGTAAGTTTTTAATTTTTAAGTGTTTTTTTTTTCCCAGCTGCTAGTGCTGCAATGCCGCAGAGTTCAGCCGCAGTAGGCCTAAAGAAAATAATAAGAATAAGAGAGTAAGACTGAGACTTTCAAGAGTCAGAGTGAGTTGACTAATGACTAGGGTTGACTAGACTACTCTAGTTTAGTCTAAAGTACTCAAGACTAGCTGAGTAACAAATCAATGAGTAGACGGGAAGAAAACTGAACTCATGTCCATGAACTGAATGAATATGATTAAAAAAATATGATCATTTTATTTGTATATGATGTGTTTGAGTAGGCCTAAAGACTACTTATTTCTTGAGTAGCACATCACCTAATTAAACCCAAGTCCTAATCTCTTACTTTTACTGCAATGGACTGCTGTGGCTGATCTATCTAATGAATCTAACTAATTAACTATTACTAACGATCTTATCTCTCTATCTTATATGTCTATATCTATCTAGCTACTATTTTTTAAGTAGTAACAATTAGTGTCTAGTGAGTTCGTAATAATTAGGCCTAAGACGAACATTTAAAAATCATTTAGACCTAATTAGTTTTAAAACCTAAATCAAAGCTATCCACTATCATCATATTTTTATTAATCAGGCCTAAACTGAATTTTTTTTTCTTTGGCCTCTATAGTTTTATTCAATCCTAAACATGAGCTCTACACACTTTTTTTTCTGTTTTAGGTTGCCCACATGAGCGCAGTTATAGGGCCCTTTGTTGGCGAGTAAGTTTATATTTTTATAATTTTTTATTACTCTACTTACTTGTTGAATCATGGTACCCGAATAATGGCAAAATTTTATAATGATGCAAAATTTTGGAAACTATTTTTAGATACTTCTTAACTATATTCCAAAAGAAAGGAACAAATGGAAAGCAGAGCTTCAAAAACAAAGGTATGTGTAATTTAATAGGGTTCCAAAAAAAATGGACTAAATGATCAATAACAGATGTTTATATCAAAAGATGATCTAGAAGTGAAAATAGTTTTTACTCAATTAAAGAAACTCTTCAGTCATGTTGGTTTATCTTTGGTCTTTATCAATTAATTAATTTAAAATTAATTATCTTTCATTTCTTGTTTACCTTTTGCAGTAACACTCTTAACTTAATTATAAAGTAAAATGAAAAACTTTGAGCATCTTTTATTGTAAAACCCTATTTTTAGTACAAAAGTTAACCCTTTAGGTTTACATTTTCTTTTAGAAACCTGTATAAGCAGTACATGGAAATAATGATAATCTTACCTGGCAAAAAGATGAAATCAAAAGAATCCGCCAATGGGGAACTAGAAGATCATGTAAGTATCTGCTGTAAGGCTTGTAGCAGAATACTGAGTCTGTGTTAAATCAAAATATGAGATCACTTGATGGAGTCTTAGTTAAATCAATAGGCCTACACAAATCTCTTATTGATTGTGTTCCTATTCTATAAAACAAAAAACATTAACCCACCTCCACCAATATAGCATTTTACCATTACTCAATGCCTACATCAACTCTCTGGGTACCAACCTTTCGTCACCACAAACCATTATTCAGCTTGGTTTTGTTTTTAAAATAGTCATTTTCAACAAATCATGCACTAGTTTAAGACAAAATCACTGGTAACATATTCGTTAGAAAATTTTGTTAAGCCTTACATTGTGTTTAAAAAGCAAAATGTTTAATCCAGTGTATCATCTTATTTATCCACCCATTCCAAGCAGCTGAAATTTTGAAAAACCTAGGGCATTGTAATAGCTTTTTTAGTTACATAATTTGTACACAATCTGTTTTTTATGGATTGTAATTTAGTCGTTTTAATCTAAACATAAAAAATCACTTGACATTAAACTGGAATAAAGTCTCTGTTACAGTTGTTTCCAATCCAACATTTTTTGTGTCTCTCAGCCTTTAAACCCTAACCCTGACAGTGAGTGGAGAGAAACTTTCAGAGACAATGAGATGTTGCTACAGATAGATAAAGACTGCAGGTACTGTGGGGCTAATCAATACTAACACTATAACTTAATACATTTTTTTTTAGTTTAAAAATAAAACATAGCTAATGTCTTGTGAAGTTAATGGTCAGTGTTGGCATTTTATTCTGTACTATGACCAGCTGCCTCAGTCTGAGTGCCATCTGATCATGCCATCACTTAGACCTGACTGCAGGTATTTTTATTCATGTTGTAAAGCTAACCTTCACCCATGAAAATGAATATATCTGCAGGCGTTTGTGCCCCGATCTGTCATTCTTCCAACAAGCTACTGACTTCCCTTGCGAGGAGTTGCTGAATGCTTCCTCCAGTGTTGAAACCTTGAGGAAACGTGTGGAGCACTGTGTCCTACAGTCTGAGACAGTCTCCAGGAACAGGCTAGGCATTACGTTTAATGTAAGTTTATACATTATTACATTGATGTAAGTTAATATTCTGCTAGGTATTACTTTTAATACACATAATACTTTTACTTTAAGCTTATATCCTGTTGGGCATTATGTTTGATGTCAGGTCCTATTTAGCTTGGCATCTATGTCAGTTTATATTTGTCTCGGCATTGATAAAGTTTATATTTGATTAGGCATTGATGACACATTTATATTTGTTAATTAGTTACTTTAGTATATGTTAATATTTTGTGTGGCACTATATTTAATGTTTATATTTTACTGGTCATTAATTTAAGTTTATATTTAATTAGATTAATGTAAGTTATATTTGACTTGGCTTTGATGAAATTTGTATTTTAATATTACTTACAATAAACATTTATATTTGGCAAGGTAGAACCTTTTGTATATGTTTATATTTATCCTGGTAATAATGTTTATATTTGACTAGATATTACTTTAAATGTTTCTTTATATTTGGTACCCATCAAGCTTGAGACTTTAGTGATAGTAATCCTGTACTTTACCCTGAAAAAAAGTTTACCTTAAACTTAATAGTTTAGGCCTATTTAAGTTTTGTTTTAGTTAAGCACCACACAGTTGAATTGTACTTAGGCATACCACTCATGGTGGGCCTAATTTTGACTTGGTGTCACAATGAACTATAGTTTACACTGATTGTTTTCCCACTCTAGGCAGCATCAAAGAAAAGAACCCACAGCGATGAATACGCCTTTCTGCCTGATGGTAAGGAGGCACACTGGGAAGTGGTGGAGAGAATTCTATTTCTGTATGCAAAGCTAAACCCAGGTCTTAATTATGTGCAGGTAAGGAGATAGGCTAGTTATCTTAATGTTTTTAAACTGTAGAATGGAGTAAATAAAAGTTGAACCTAAGTTTTGAAACTTCTGATTTTTGTGGGAAAGTAGGCCCAGATTAGTCATATGTGTCTTAGTTTTAACCTGGTGAGATAAGCACAAAACTGATGTTAGCTACAGGCATGTCAGGTGAGTTGTTGTTGATTCGTTACAGGTGAGGTAAGTTCAATGACCTCATGAGTTACATTTAAGTTAGTTAAGTGAGTTATTTAAAGTAAGGTTAGTCATGTAAAATGGAGTAAATTACTTGGGGGTGTGATGAAACAAGCTGGTTTTATCTAGTTGAACGTTATCAAGTGCAAGTAAAGTATTTATTATTAGAGTATTTTACTCTACACATCTAATGCTGTAATTAAAATTTGTTGTCCCTTGTCTAGACCAACATCATCTAAATTGTTTAGTCTAGGATCTAGCTTATAATTATAATATACATCATTTTTTGTGTGAAAGTTATTAAGTTTCTTTTAACTCCCAGGGAATGAATGAGATTTTAGGCCCCATCTACTACACATTCGCCACTGATCCTGATCAAGAATACAGAGGTACTTATTTTTTTCTAAAATAAATTGTGCAAAAAAATTTTTTTGTTTTGTTTGCATGCATTCAATGCATGTGTATTTTTTTTAAAGTAGCATTTATTCCCACCATTTTATAACTTATTTGATTGTTTTGTTTCAGAATTTGCGGAAGCGGATTCATTTTTTTGTTTTACTTGTTTAATGAGTGAGATTAGAGATTTCTTTATCAAAACACTAGATGATTCACAGTATGGAATAGGTAAGGTGTTTATATTATTCAATGTAAATAACTTTACATTATTTTCTGTACTCATTATTAATTTTTATTTTTAATACATTGGGAGATATCTAGTATGTGAACCAATTATATTTATCACAAATCGCGCTAATTTCACATATACTGTCATAAAATAAAAGTGCTTCAACCACAGAAAAAGAAACATTCTATAAGCAAATATTAGCCTTATGGTTGTTTTATTGAAATCTAGACTATGCTGCTCTGAATTAAACATGTAGGCAGCAGAAAATAACAACTATTAAATTATGTAAAGCGAAAAAAAAAATCAAACCCTAAACCATGAGACTATCATCTTCAAGTTCACATTTCGTCAATGTTGTAGTTCTATCATCATGTAAGTCTTGCAGTACTATAAAAAAAAAATATTCTAAACTATGAATTAAACATGTAGGCAGCAAAATGAACCAGCTAATGGACATGCTGAAGCTGCACGACAGACCCCTGTGGCAGAAGTTGCAGGACCAGGAGCTCAGGCCACAGTTCTACGCCTTCAGGTGGATTACCTTGTTACTGTCACAAGAATTCCAGTTGCCAGGTAGGACACAGTTTTTTTAACCTCTGTAATATGGTTAATCAATTCTTATATTTATATGATTAGAAATAAAAAAATCTGAGAGACAAGTTTAAACCCATGTAATGACCAGATTTTTCCTTGTATGAAACTCCATTTTTCTCTTCTTCAATGTCTTGAGCATCATATTCCAATAAAAATTAGTGGTCGACTATTTGTTCCCCAGATGTGCTGAGGATCTGGGACTCATTGTTTGCTGACACCAACAGATTTGACTTCCTTATTTACATCTGCTGTGCTATCCTCATGTGAGTCTTTTAGTTCTATCCTCATGTTAGTTTTGTAGTGCTATCCTCATGTTAGTTTTGTAGTGCTATCCTCATGTTATTTTTGTAGTGCTATCCTCATGTTAGTTTTGTAGTGCTATCCTCATGTTAGTTTTGTAGTGCTATCCTCATGTTAGTTTTGTAGTGCTATCCTCATGTTAGTTTTGTAGTGCTATCCTCATGTTAGTTTTGTAGTGCTATCTTCATGTTAGTTTTGTAGTTCTATCCTCATGTTAGTTTTGTAGTGCTATCCTCATGTTAGTTTTGTAGTGCTATCCTCATGTTAGTCTTTTAGTTCTATCCTCATGTTAGTTTTGTAGTGCTATCCTCATGTTAGTTTTGTAGTGCTATCCTCATGTTAGTTTTATAGTGCTATCCTCATGTTAGTTTTGTAGTGCTATCCTCTTGTTAGTTTTGTAGTGCTATCCTCATGTTAGTTTTTTTTTGTGCTATCATTATGTGAATGTTGTAGTTCTATCATTATGTGAGTCTTGCAGATCTGGTGTAATTGTTGGAAACTTAAATACTTGCTTATATTTCTTATGCCTTTACTTTCAAACAAGTCTTCCTATGAAACAATTACCCATATCAGCTTCATTATGTTCCTAATAAAATAATTGAAACACTTAATGATCCACAATTTAATCTTCTAAATCCTTTTTTGTTTTAATTTTTTTTATTAGTTCAATTCGACAACAGCTGTTAAAAGGAGACTTCCCTAACAACATGAAACTTGTACAGGTGAGTTTTCCAGTCCTCCTAGTTAAGAAATACTTGATGAGATTGGTATTCTAATGGATAGTTACATGAGTACTATCCCCTGCCTCCTATACACTCACTAACATGAGTCATGTATACTAGGGTAGTCCAACAGACTCAAGTCAGAGATCCAAGCTTGAGAATTTTTAATTTGCAACAAGCTCTCTAAGGTTTTGTCATTTATAAAAAGGCAAAACTAGTGGCTCTATGATTTTTTGGTCTTGGATTAAAAATTATGATGTTGGCTTTAGTTCATGTTATTACATTAATTAGTTAACTAATTGGTGCAAACAACCAACATTAAGCACACCTAAACACCACAGTATAATCTAGACCCTGTTGACAGGCTTTAAACATTACAATTGTTTTTTTTTCTACCAGAGAATGGAATCTGCTATTGACTTACAGCAAGTCCTTGCTAAAGCCAGAGAACTGGCCAGTGGCTAGCTCAAGTTATTGTATTTATATAAACAGGTAACATTGAAGATTTGTTTGTATTGTAACCTTACAACACTGCACACCCACCATCCATGGATCAAAATGAATTGTGTATAATACAGTTTAGTTTATCTTTTGAATAAGAGATATGTTCATCATCCCTGGTTTCCTAATAGCAGGCTCTTCTCTACTTGCATGCTAAGCTTTGCACCTTCATTTTCAAAGCGCAAACATCTAATCAGACTATGGAGCTATTGATTGTTTATTTACTGTTTGTTTGCAGATGGTGAGGGTACAACAAATGCTGTGATTGATTTGAAGTTGTTCAGAGTAAAATGTGTTTTTAGTCAATGCATTCAAGAAAGAAATCTGGTGCTGTTTCCATTCCTAGAGGATAAATGTGGCATAGCTTCTCATTTTTGTACATCGATGATACAAAAATGTAAAAATATTATAACGGGTAGATGTCTTTTTTTTTTTTCAAGTTAAATTTTTTTTTTAAAAAAGCCAGCTTTCCATTACTTTTAAATGTCAACTTAATGGTAAAAAAATTGCATACCTCTACTTTAATTTAAATGTTTTTTAACAAAAACTGTCTGCTATAAAAGATTTATTAATCTAAAATCTTGAAATGAATTAATTGAATTCATTTTATTTGAATTTTTATAGCCATGTATATTGTGCCAGTATGACTGTGAGGTGCCAGAATTAATAGATTTAAAACTTTTTTGGTTATTAAATTTTTTGTCATCCCGCATCTACCATTTTGATTATCAACTCTAGCAATATTTAACCTTGTCTTTCAATTTCCTTTATAAGTTGTAACAAACAAGGGTAGAACTTCTTTCTTTCTTTACAATGAGAACAAACTGCTAATTCCTTAAACAAAACCAGTGTTGAATCAATCCAGTGTCAACAAGCTTCAGTGCAGTAACCAGTTCTCCATTAAATGAACAATTTTCTTAAAAGTAATTTTTGTGATATTAACTTTTCATTATTCCCTGTCAATAAACTTTGTTTTATTTTTGTTACATTCCACAATTATTATTTTTAAAATTTTTGAAGTTGTGAAATATACTCAGTAAAATTTTTTTAGTCATGTTTCTGATAAATTATGTACGTGTAACTAGTTGAACAAATGTACTAGTGATATTACACAACTATGCTTTAAATTTTTTAAAAATTGGGTCAAAGGTCAGAGAGCGTTTCACATACCAGGTGTGTAGCATAAATCTATCACCATATATGCCTTCATGTATTGCTTGTAATATGACTGATAAGCTTTCCTTCGTGTACGTGCTCACTTAACCACTTATGGGTAGCCATAAAACCACTTTGCTTTACCAGTCATGTACGTATGACTAGTCAAATAACTGATAAGCAAAATGTGTCCTCAACTCATCAAAATCACCCATGCATGCTTCTTACTACATCTATCAGCAAAAATACAGTATTACTAACATAACTTGAACACTATGTCCTTCACTGTGTTGCTTTGGACTATTGTGTATTGGCGATGAAGTTTAGCATACATCAACTATTATTCAGTAGAAAACCGACCAAAAATATGAGTTAAAACTGAATATGTAATTAAATTTGTCCTTTTTTTTTCTAAAACAACTCAAAAGTTTAAATCCACTATTGTAATTACATTTTTTCTTATGAATTTGAAGTCTTGTGGTAAATGTTCATGTGACTGTTTATGATGAAAAAGAAATTAAAATAATATATTTGCCATGTATTTTCTCTTTAGGTTTTTCTTTAACAAATTATTGTGCACTATTGGTTATCAGTGTCTGTTTTATCAGTGCATTAAGATCATCAAAGGGTTCAGCTGTCGGCAGATGTACAAGTTTACATTATTTAATCAATGCAGATCTTCAATAAATCTTAATACAATTTTGTTACATCATTCGTCATTTTGTAAATTATACAAAGACACAAACATCCTCCATTAGATCAAAAAATAATTACAAATAGTTTTTATATGTGACTAAAAACAAAGGATTTTAATCAAGTTTCCAGATACAATGCATGATGAAAAAAATGTATGTATGCTTCTTTCTTTCCATACAAGGAATGCATTCAATGCCACCAAATCTAGTCATATAAATAAACATCACAATGAATAAGTGAACTCCGAATAACAATGAGATACAAGTGTATATAGATGAAAAAACCCATGTGTGCAAGTCAGTATAAGTATAACTAGAGGTACAATCAGACGCTCACAATATTTAGCTTCAACTAAATTACTAACAATGCCTTGGTCTCCACCTCTTCAGTTATGGTAGGAGTAATTTTGTTTTTTACCTAACAATTCACTAAAACTAAAATGATATACCAATCAATTATTCGGCTATCACAGAGACTTATCTACACATTATCACATACTATTAGCAATCAAATTCAGGCTAATAAATATCTTACCTGCAAATAGATATACCTAACTTTCTAAAAAAAACAAGCCTAGAAGGAAACAAATTATGTAATGTTGAAAAATAAATGCAGAAGAGTAGATCTTTAAACAAATTGTATCTGCAGGATAAATTAAAAGCATGAGCTGTCTGTGTCAATAATTAAATAAACATTAAGAATTCTACCCTTTACATAAAATATACAGATAAAGGTACAGAGGACTAAATTTACAGCTTAACATTCTCATGAAGTTGCACTTCTATCCTAAAGAGACTTTGTTGAATAGCGTCCATAGCTTTAGCACGGTTTTGTTTCAGCATGACATCCAACTCTTTGATCTTTTTAGTTGTTTCTACCTGAATCTGTGCCTCACTGTTACTTTTCTTGCCAAGGATCTTTCATGGAAATAAAAACACACATCAGTCTAACAAGTCCCTTATCTCAGAGTAAAACAAAAATGTAGACCTACAAGTGTACAAGGTAAATAAAAATCAACAATTCAAAGTTTTGTAACAAACAACTGAGCTTACCTCTTGTTCATACTGTTTGTAGTGATTCTCCTTCTCGTTTTTAAAGGCTAGGATTTCTGAATCTGCTTCCTTTTTTGCAGTTTTGATTCTCTGAGCTTTTCCTAAAAGAAAAAAGAAAAAGAAATAAATGGAAATGACAAAGTTTAGTTAACAAAACGAAGTGAATTAATATGGTTATTATAGAAAAATACAAGCCTAGCCACTTATTAAGAAAGTGCCGGGTATCAGAAAACTGACATGACTATAGGATTGACAGTTGTCCCATCCAATGCTGCCAGTTAAGTTACATGACATTGGGAAGCTTGATGTTTTTCATGTGTTTATTTAATTACAATATTTTTAATAAAAATCAATTCTTTTTTTAACTTGGCGGCCATAGTTAACAATACATTACTTAAACACCAATTCAGAAGTACCAAATACTTTTCAATTTACTTAGTATAGAAAAAATATGTTTTGTTAAAGAATAATTACTTGACAATGCTGCAGGCAGTCTAACTTCTTTTTTTCAAAACTGTTAATATAAATTTAATATTTTCAAAATTTCTCCATAGCTATTGGCCTATATTTTTTATCTTGGTATTAAGGCAGAAACCTCTAGCACTTAAAATTAAGCCAGATATTCACTTTTTAATATAGAGACTGACGTGTGGTTGCAAAAAAAAAAAATTGTAGGCCTATTTCTTAATTAAAAAGTAAAAAAAAAATTCTGGCATAGGATGAGAGACTCAGGAGATCTCTCTGTAATCTCACATTGAAGTAATAAGAAGATTCTGGGAGAAAGAAGTATTTGTATTTATCTCAAAGATGGCTCTCCTTGCTGTTCTCATGAATAGGCCCTATTGGAAAAACCAGAACCATTAAAATGTTACAGCCATTGTTAGGGTTACAGATCACTTCTCCTCTTTTGATAGATAACCAAGTAGTTGTTGGGCTCCCAAGTTCATTCATGCCCTGCTTTTTAAAAAAAGTAATACTGCTTTGGTTCAGATAATTAGGTTTACAAATGACGTGAAATGTCTGATAATTAATAGACTTCAGACATTTCCAAAAAATAAGCATGTTATTTATTAGGTTGTTATTACTACAGTATGAATATTGTAACCTCAGGGCTAGTTTAATGCCTGGATTAGGGTTAGTCGTGCAGTGGAATAGGGTTGGCAATAGCTAACTATCAGTTACACCACTCTTTAAAAAAGATTCTAGATCTTATTATGCCAGCATTAGGAGTTTAATGTTTACTTTATTTACAAGAAAGTCCTATCTAGTATTTACAATAATATTCTTGAAGTAAGATAAATATACTTAAAATTTCAGAATTCCCATGATCTGCATTCTGAAGCATCTGATCAATCTGTTTTCCTCGCCAAGGCTTATTTTTAATTTTATATTATAATTAATCAAATCATTGAAGTTTACTTACGTTTTCTTGCTTCGACTACTCTTTCTGTTGCTTTTTTCTCTGCGATTAGAAGTTGCTGAATCCCTTCTGTTTTCTGGGCCATTTTGACTTTGTAATTAAGATAAAATTCTGAAAGAGTATCACTTACGACTTAGGGTTTTTATTATGTGGATACTAAGTACATCACAAGACCAAGTGATGCCAGATTCGCAGGTAGCTTTTTAGGCTAAGAATAAATAGCATTGGCCAACATAACAACTAGAGCCAGGAAAATGTTACTAGTTTTACTTTTATGAAATTAAATTATTTATGTGTTTTAAATAAAAAAATGTATTTTTCTTAAAATGCTGATGTTGAGTTTTAATGACTTTTAGGTGAAAATTTTGTTTAGAATTTTTAGCCACATATTTTACAACGTTTTATTAGGCACATCTGGTCATGTGAGAGTTGTTGTTGCCAGATTATGATAAAAATGAAGGGCACACCATAAGTGTAGTAATTAACACCAGTCGTCAATGTTAAGAATGTTTTTTTCTTTTATGCATTTCATTATATTATTCAATACATAATTTATAAATTAATATTTTACGCTACACAATTTACATTTTCTATAACAGCTAAAATTATATCCATACAAAAATTAGTATATATTGCGTAGATTGTAGTAGTAGTAGTACTAGATCTAGTAGATATAAGAATTATTACTGTCCTAGATTCCAAAATCTATATTAACCCTTAAACTACGATCCCCATTAAATTTTTATTTAGGCCTAAATCGTTCTGAAAATGTTTATACAACTTGTATCGTAGATCACATTTAAAAAGAGTGTTTTTTTTTTAATTTTGAAAGGGTATTTAGTATTTATTATTATAAAAACAAACAAAAAAAGTTGTGTATTTAATGCACAATAAATGATGACGTATTTCACACGGAAGAGCTTTCAAGACAAGGGGTAACGGGTAAGAATGCGAAAAATTTCCCTTAATGTTTTTTTTTTAAATATTTTTTAAGGTAAGAGCAGTGTGTTACAATTTGTGTTGGTCGTTAAAATCGTGTGCACCAGATTTAATCTAGATCTAGATCTAGAATATAGAAATCTACCATCGTAAGTTAAGTAGTAAGTAGTAGCGTAAAAATAGTAAATAATAAATAAATAGATCTACTCTAGATCTAGGCCTAAAACGAAAACGGATTTTAATTTTAAAAAACCCAAAAGTCATTGCAATAAGGTAGACATAATGAACTGGGAAAATCTCCCTGATAATTATACAATATAGAATCTACATAGATTTATGGACAATTATAACCCATTCCTAAATACATAAAAATCATCATTCTAGATTCTAGGCCAAGTAGGCCTAGTTTTTTTTTTTTACGAATTTTCAAAGTTATGTGTTTAACTTGTTATGTTTCATTCATAATCAGTAGGCCTATAATTAAAATAGTATATACTATATAATATATATGTATGCTAGTATTAAGGTTATAGCTGAACCTCATGATTTTGAAAATGTGGTTGCTTTACTGTGCAATGAAAAATATTAAAATAATATAGGCCTAGGCCTATTAATTTTAAATTAATAAGAGGCAATGGTTTTTATATGAAAAATTTTCTCCCTTTGTTCAAAAGCCACATACTCTATACCAGCGTATTAGGACATTTTATCTAGTCCTAAATAAAAATTAAAACATAGACCCCAGCCTACTACTATTTAAAAATAGTAAAAATAGTATGAAGTGGGGGTCGGCGTGGTCGAGTCGGTAAAGCTCATGGTTGCTAAACCGAAAACCCCCGGGCAGATGAGGCTCGTTAGCTGGGGACAGCCACTCTTCTAGAAGAGACAACTCCAAAATCAAACAACTACTGCCTTGTAGTTTGTTCTCGGTTGGACAAAGGCTATGGAAGCAAATCCAAAAAGAAAAGCAGGCTGAAATCGAAGTCAATGGCCTCAATGGCGCATAACCAGTTGACACGTATCCTTAATTGTGATGGAGGCGTGGTCGAGTCGGCAAAAGTTCATGGTTGATTCGAAAAAAGTCTCGAGTTCAAACCATCTGGCAGATAAGGCTCGATCCGTTCCAACACTAAAAATTAAGAACGAAGAAGAAGAAGAGAGTATGAATCGAAATAATAAAGCATATCTAGTTCAATAAACTAATTTTTTTTTAAAAAGATAGCTACAGTCTTTATGATGTTAATTATAGGCCTAATTGATAGTTATTTTTTAATATATTGTATAGTATTGTATAGTTACTTTCTAGGAGTCAAGACATAATTTTAATAATTTAAAAAAAAATATTCTCGAATACTCTAATTTTATGCTTAGAAATTAGACTTCTTTGACACAATAATTATTAGTTGATATGTATAACTTAATTAAGAATTATACTTTTCAGGGTGAATCCTACAAACAATATGGCAGCATATGCACCAAGCGACCTTGATTTATTTACCCGATTTGTATGTTTTGGTTCTGAAGATGGTAGTTATAATGTCCTCGCCCAGCCAGAATTCACTGATAGAGCCCCATCGTTGGGCTCATTCTTGTGTAAAGAAAAGGGAGCAGAAGCTATATCTCGAATAAGAAAAGTTTTCCTGAACAAGAGTTATATTACCAAGGACCCACTGCTTTACGCACTTGCCACTATTATTAGAAAGACCCCAGTAACAGACAAGCATGAGGAGGATGAAGTTCGTACAACAGCGTACGCTCTTGCTGAGGAAATCTGTGTCTCACCAATGGATCTCTTTACTTTTGTTCACTATGACAAGGCTGTTGCTGATAATAAAAAGGCGGGCTGGGGGCGGGGTATGAGGCGCCTGGTCACCAAATGGTATGAATCTAAGGCACCTCTCAAGCTGGCTTCAGAGGTGACGAAGTGCAAGTCAGGTAGAGGCTGGACCCATCGAGATCTCATTCGCCAAACTCACATCAAAGCTGATAAAGTTAGTAAAGGTATCACTTCACTGCTTTATTTTTATGTAGATATTTTATTATAATAAAGCTAACATATACCTTAATTACACGAACACTCATAATTTTGTTTTGGAAGTAGAAAAGTGAATATTTTTTAATGTTTAAATTTTAAAATGACAGATTTTTGTAAATGCATTATATAATTAATTGAATAATTAATTAATTATTTGAAATAAGATCCTCCTTTTTAAATAAACAGCTTGTTAAACATGTATATATAGTCCTATTCAATATTATTCATTTATTAAATTTTTTGTAAAATTGAGAATTTTTTTTTTTTTTTTTAGTTTTTGTTCACAATTTGTGTTACCAATACCATTTCCCCATGAATTAATTTATTATGTTTAGTATAATTGATATCACAACTAAAGAAAGAGAAGTTTAAATTTACAAAAGTATAAATTATTTATATATTTAATTCCTTGCTGTGTGTATGGTCTACATTATCTATAGTTTTGAAATTGAATGAATTTGGTTATTTCGATTATAGAAAAATAATTATGTAAACATATTTAGCAATCTGTAGTTATGTTGTTGTGATGCAGCTTTAGTCTAATTAATTTATTTAAAAATGTCTATGAACCCTCAATAGGTACTTCTCTGGTTATTAAGTATCTAATACAACACAGTAAGCAGATAGAAAACCCAGAGGATGATCTTGAGCCAGTTGTAACATTTCTCAATGACTTAAATTCTTTGACGTCATCTAATTCTTCTGAAGGGGCTTTGGTGCGGAGCTTGATAGAAAAACACAAGCTAGTGGATCGACAGATTCCTTCTTTTCTTTTACAAATGCCAGAGGTAATAGTTTTTAAAACAGAAAAATAAATAGAGGAATGATTTTAGTAAAGGGAATAAAATATTATGTAAAAAAAGGTATTGTTTAGTTAAACTACATGAAGTACTTATACTTTTATAGCTCACAAATTAAAGTATTGTCTGAGTAGGATAAAGGACTATTTGTCTGGATTTGTCTGGACTTTTTTCTTGGAGATTACAATTTTTCTAATATATATATATATGTTTTGGTCATAGAACTTCTAAATGAATTTTTCATTGAAAATGTCTATTCAGCATTGAAAAGAAAAGATCAAATATTTTTAACTAACATTTTATGATGGGATCAATTGTTTTGTCTAACTTTTTATTTTACAAGCAGCGTTAAAAGTGATTCTCATATTTTTCATATTATTGTGTTTCTTGTTTTGTGTAGACCTATGAAGGTTTGTTAGGCCACATAAAGCTAGAGGATGTGATTAGAAGCATACCAAAAATGGCTTCATTAAGAATGCTGGACTATGCAGCCCCTCAAACTGCTCAAGTAGTTGATGTAGTGAAAAATGTAGATAGGATTCTTCAAGAGAAGTAACTCTTTTTTAAATTTTTACTCTTAGCTAGTGCACTAGTACATTTTAAAGGAAGGTGCTTTTTTTAAAGAGGTTAACTAGTATAATATTGATTACATTCATGTTGATCAGGATCCATCCTATGGTGATATTTCGATCTTTACGTCGCTATGAATCAGACAGAACCAAGAAATGGGTAAAAAACATCCACCTTATCAAAGCCTTACAGGCTGCTATGATCACATCTATGCAAGTGAGCCTTTTCAGTTTTAAACTCTAGTTCCTCATACTTAATATTTTACTTCAGCTAAATTGTCTTTTTATAAAATTTAGTTCTAAATACTCAAAACTTTTGTATTCATTTTTTTGACCATGAATAATTAAAAGCTATTTCTCAAACTTTACTTCAGAATCTTGAGACTATTGGCAAACGCACGCTGTTGGCTGTCCATATTGATAGTAAAATTGCAAAGCAGCATGTGATAGGGTCCAGCTACCTCTCCCCCATCATGCCTTGCACACTAATGACCAAGTTCCTCCTAGAGGTAAATCACAAGAACTATTTAGGCCAATTTTGACATTAGTTTTCTTCTTTATGCAACCTTAAACAACTTATTTTTAAGGGGAAAAGTCAAGTGCTGTTTTGTACTTGAGACACTAGGGAAGTAGAGTTGACAGATGAAGGGATAGTGTGGTCAGTTCTATGCTTAGCTACCTATGCTTTCCCTATTGTGAGTCAGATGGTCTCAATGACATCCTACATAGTTGATGACAGCCTCCAAACCACAAACTTTCAGATCAACAATTGTGCATCCAACAAACTCACCCCTTAACCTACCCCATCCCTTAACAGTTTTTTTTTAAATACATTATTGATCATTGATTTTTTTTCATCTTCCAACGTTTGTCCACAGTCAGAGGAAAAACTTCATGTGATATTTTTTCAGCAAAAAGTTTTTGAGATCCCATTTACTCGTAGAGTCTCCATGACAGGAATTGTTGAAAAGTTTCTGGATGCCACAAAAGAAGTAAGCAAATACAAAACAGTTCTGTTTTTTTTTTTTATTGCTTATACACAAAGCTGGCAACACATGAAAATGTCTGTGATAATAAAACAACATGGCAGTCTTATCTATGTCTTATTGTTAGCCAGGGAATGCAACATACAATATATCTGAGCCCTTGAAGTGGGCAGCACAAAGCAAGAAAGCCTTCGACAACATCCTCGTCATCACAGACAAGAAGGTGGTCACCACTGGACAAGACTTTCATGCTGCTGTCAGAAACTATCGCAGTGAAATGGCCCTGCCTAGCACAAAGTAAGTTTCAACTGGCTCTAGAACTGTAATGGTTGTATTGAAATGGCCCTACCCAGTACAAAGTAAGTTGCAACTGGCTCTGGAACTGCAATGATTGTATTTGTGTTTGCAGATCGTCAAATATTTTATTAAAACCCAAATGTTTACATTTTACTCTATTGTGTAAAACAGTTTTAATAACAAGACATTTTTTGTTTATCAACGACATTGTGTTAATAATGAAGTGATTTATTAATTGTAAAATAGTTAATCAACAATAAAAATGTAGGTTATAATGAATTTCTTTACGTATATTTTTTTCAGAGTTGTGTTGATTGGCCTGGGAGATCTGACTGCTGTGACCAACAAAAATGACATGAACATGTTGGAGATCAGTGGGTTCAATGAGACAGTGCCTCCATTGGTCTACAACTTTTTCCTAGGAAAGTTTGACTACCCCTCTTATGAAGTCAAAGTTGAAGCCCCTTAAAGCTTACAGTTTTACCAGATAAAGCCTTGATTATTATTTATTACAATGCCCAAATAATTCTGTGAATTAATTTATTATTAAGTGAAGACATTCTCCAGTGTAACAATTATGGCCTACATATATATTTTGACCATCTAAATTATATTATACTTTCATTTGATCCATACTTTTAGATTATGATACATTAAATTATATATTATATCAGGTTGACAACAGTCGTTGATATTTATAGTTCAATGCATGCCACATTGGCTTTAGAAGTTGTTTAATAATGAACCATTTTCATGAGCATCCCCTTATTTCCGACCTTTAAACATACTTAAACTGTTAGCTATCCCGTCCATTGCTAAATGTGAGCAATTGTTATATTTGCTGCTGAATTTGATACAAAATTTATTTCTTTGTCTGGCTGTTAAGGTCATTCCCCCCAGAGAAAAAATATTTATTATAATAATTAATGTAAATGTGTTTTCCAACTTTTTTTTTCACTAGAGTACTAAAATAGACTTGACAGGAATTTGTTGACCTGTTCAGGCTACATTAGTTTAATGTTACCCAATGTTCACATGATATTAAATTTAAGTAAAAAATAAGTTTTTACAGAGATTTCAATATTTCATGCCTCAATTCTACACATTTTGTTCTATTTATACTTTTACAATTCAGTTACTTGACTTTTTTTTATTTCTTTTCTATTCTGTTGTGACCATAAGGCTTTCTTGTTTTGATAAACAATTGCACACCCTTTTTCTTAAAAAAAAACATGGATTAGAATTGTTTCTCACATTATTTCCATGTCTAGTCAATTCATTTATAAAGAACTAAGTTGATTAATGGGCAATTATTTCTTTTTGTTTGCCAATCCTATTGTGATAATTATTTTCTATTTCAAGCTTGGTAAATTATAGGGTTGGATACCAAATGTACCATTTTATTTTATGTTTTCCTCAAATATTGTTGAATGTACTGATATTTTTAAATATAAAAGAGACATTAAAAGAAATCTACATAATACATAACCTCAACTCAATTCTCAGTTACAAGTTTTGATACCAGATAAAATAGTCACATGCTGGCCAACTCCTAAGCTACTGTTATAATTTTTCCCACTTTACAATTGTTTTCAGTTGCTGTTTAAAATTGTTTATTTCGTGTTAAGTGGTTTTACTTGAATATGAATGTGTTAAATTTCTGTTTTACTTTTACATCTGTATATTATATCTTGTTTATTGTACATTTCTTCTACAAGTTGTGTGTGCCATTTCAAATTCTCCCTCCCTATGATGCTTTTGTTATTTATCTTTTCATTATTTCACTCTAAAGGGTACTAAACTAATGTTAGAGAAATTAAAGAATAGTACTGACCACATTATCACTTTATATGCCTCGGTCACAGAAACAGGTGAACTCTGCTTCAATTGCCCCATGAACCACCAAGTCCGAAAGGGTATTTACTTTTTTACCAATACTGAGTCTTGCTGTTGATAAATGTTGAACATGTTTAAAAAAAATGAATTGTTATTATAATACTGAAGCTAATACAGAAAGATAACATTTATATTTTGATTTAAAGATTTCTTAAAACCTGAACTGTCTCCTTCAACTTTTGTTTGGCAAGTCAAGATTTGATTGTGTAAACAACATTTTAAAATAACTAAAAGAGTGTGTCATTATTTGCCTGATTTACCAGTTAATTTGTCATGTGTATCTTGTGTACACATTCCATGGCTAAAATTTAAACACTGAAACCAATCTATAAAGTAAAGATTTGAAATAGTTTGGTCATATATCATTCCTTCTCTTTCTACTGACTACTTTTATGAGCAGATAAATCTAAAGAAAATAGTTATTTATTTAGAAAATCAAATTTTCTTAAAACAAAAATTCTACTTGGCTGTAATTTGAAAATATAGTTGACTGCATTGAAGTTTCACAGCTATTGCCATTTCAACACAACTTATTTAAAAAATAGTTTTCTTTATGAGAATTGAGAATTTGTAATACTATCTCTCTTGCTATTTGTTTTGATCAATTACAATTTTTGTCTTCAGTTTTTAATATTTTTTACATAAATTTGAATGTAAAGTACACAGCTTCATTGAAATTTTAATGACGTGTAGTTTTAATTGTATTAACTTATTAGCAAATATTGTGTATTTCATTAACATAATTATCAAAGTGCAACTGGTTAAAATACGCTTAATGTTGTATTGTATTATCTGCCAGTAAATCCACGCAATCTATTTTGTGTCTCTGTTGTTCAGATAAATGTTATTTTTCTCACTCAACTTATTGTATTTGATATCAACTGATGTATCAACCCAGTTCTTGTTGGCTGTTCCAGTCATGTTACTGACTTGTTTCCCATAAACTCAAATGTACATAATTATTTTACTGAAAGTCAAACTTTATGACTTTGTTGTTCAATTAAATGATGCATTTAGTTTTTTTTATACTTGCAGTTTATCTAAACAGAGACATTTTTTTTTGGCATTTATTAAGAATTATTAATGTAACGATGTTTGAAAATTTATTTTTTTAGTTCATCCAAAGTGCAATTTACTTTTTTTTTAACTTAATTCATTAACTGTTAGTTATGGATCATACACATTAGATCTAACATAAGATGGGGGGGGGGGGGAGTAATGTAAAGCAGTCTAATATAAAACTATTTTTCTGTACTCCTTTTTTATTCCCATTAATTGGAATGGCCAGATAAACCAGTTGACACCACCAAAAAGTGTTAGAGATAAGGGGGATAATCACTGGATTTTTCTTTGGAGTAGTGGGTGGGTAAACATAGATTGGTCTTTAAACCTGTTTTTTTTTTTTTTTTTTTATTGTTGAAAAAAAAAATGAAGTTATGAATCTAATGGTTAGTGCTGTTCAATTTACCTGTTTGGTGACCATGCTTTGTCCCATTTTGTTTAAACAACAATTGTGCTTTTAATAATAATCACAACTTTTGTGAGAATAACTGTTGGGTTTTTTTTCTCTGTTGTTTATTTATTCTTTAATTTTTGTTAAAAAGAGAGGCTAAAAACAAATAGAAGTTTTAAATTAGTTTATTACATTACAGGTTAAATAAGATAGGATGCAATCATTTTAAAACAGTGACAACCACTTTTACATCTGTGTGGACCAAAACTTGAAGTCAGTAATGAAAACAAGATTTAGCTTTAAAGCAGGTGTAAGTCATTAAATGCAGTGTTGGTTATATGCTAAAAGTTGACAGGCAAGTCAAATTTTCTTACAAATAGTCAATCCTCGTTGGTATTTAAAAATGTATAGACTTAGAGGCAGCAGGCAGGTTGGACATAAGCCTAAACTGTATGATAACAAGTCAATTTCCAAAACGTATGTAACAAATGCCACTGACAGCCTGATTCTGTCAATGACAGTTTGCTACTGTCACTGTTTTATATGACAGTTTAATGTCACAGTCAATTTTGTCATGTCATGCAGCACATTAAAAAAAAAACATATCAAACTGAAGTCGATATATATAGTTTGAAACCTTATACAACATATATCAAGTATCTTTCACAATATCACGCTGAGACGGACATAGTACACCCATACATTGTATGAGATGTGTTGCTGATCAGTCCAACTGTCAATTTACAAATAAAGACAGCAGATCATAGGGGACAATAGTTATACAAGGCCAAGAAAGGGGTCATATTAAGATGTATGAAAATTATTCTCCAGATAAATCAATGACAACATGCACAAAATTCAAGGTTTTTGTTATTTTAAAGAGAAAAATTGGTCCCCTTTTTATTAGCATATGATAAGTAAAAGACAATTCATCAGAAGACATCTGAATCAAACAGAAAAGTACATGAATCATATCACTGTTTCAGTCAATTTGGAGTTGACTTTAATGATAGTAAATCTGACTAGCAGGTTTAGGGTTTAAATCATTGTATGTATCAGATTTCATAGAATAAATTGCAATGTCCACCACATGGAAAAAATTAAATGTCCTTCTTTCAGCACTAAAGCAGGAAGCAGTGAGTGATGTCACTTGTCACATCTGTGACGTCACTTGACACATTACATTTGTGACATCAACAGTTGCATCTAAAATGCTACATGTCAAAATTGTGGTATTACGTGTTACAATAATGATGTCACTTGTCGCTCTGGTGATGTAACTTATCACATTTCTGATGTATATGTTGCATTTTCTATGCAACTTGACAAAGTTGTAAAGTAACTTACAACAGCTGTGAGAGCTAATGTAACTTATCACATTTCTGATGTAAATGTCGCATATACTATGCAACTTGACAAAGTTGTAAAGTAACTTTCAACAACTGTGAGAGCTATGAACTGAAAATAAATGGAAAAGCTCTGATTACTCAGCATGCAAAACCCATGTGTAAGAATATCTCATGTTTACACCAAACCTCTGAATAAACACTGTAAGTAGCAAAGTATGATCTCTGTAATGACATGATTTAATCATCAAAATATTTTATTGCATCATTTCACAATATAACAGGAAAACAACAATATCAGTGTACTGAACATGCAAAGTCTAATCATTAAATCACAATTATGTTCATTCTAATTACCATCGTTAGTTGACCTCACTGTTTCTACCAGTGTCATAATCCCAGGCTAGCACCAATATAAGACCATTCTCTACGTTCTAAGTGGATGTACAATAACTACAACTAAGCAAATATTTTTTTAAAAGCCAGTTTAAAACAAACTTGACCACTGATCCATCATTAAACCAAAAAAATAACAATAGCTTTATTGTTTGGTTGAGCTGATGAAGAAAATTGGTTGAAATAACTGTTTTCATTTTTAAACTGGAGAATAAAAATATCAGCTGCACATCCTTTCTCCCATGATTCCTAAAACTACTTGCTAACCTGAATGGACCATCCCCAATCAGCGGTGATCAGTTTATTATGTACAATTTGATTTTTTTTTAAATTGGTTTAAAATCACATTCGAACATATAACTAGATATTGACCTTGATCACAAAATGGTTCAATAATTGCAATCACAACACCCATCAGTTCATTGAAAAATATTTTTAGAAAAATCAAAATTAAATTTTAAAATTCATTATTTTCTGAAAAATATTGGTGTATTCATCAAATGATATTTTAAAAAGTGAAGAGGGCTATTCACTACAACAGCATCAAAACAAATTTCTTCACTAAGTAAATAATGAAGTTAGGTAATATATTTCATACAAGAGTCAATTTAAAAATAAACATGATAAAAGTAGGTCTTACTGATCTATCACCAAATGTTTATGCTCTGACAAGTCACCTCAGATGAGACAAGTCTCACCTCAGATGAGACAAGTCTCACCTCAAGACCAGACAAGTCTCACCTCAGACCAGACACAAGTCTCACCTCAGACCAGACAAGTCTCACCTCAGACCAGACAAGTCTCACCTCAGACCAGACAAGTCTCACCTCAGACCAGACAAGTCTCACCTCAGACCAGACAAGTCTCACCTCAGACCAGACAAGTCTCACCTCAGACCAGACAAGTCTCACCTCAGACCAGACAAGTCTCACCTCAGACCAGACAAGTCTCACCTCAGACCAGACAAGTCTCACCTCAGACCAGACAAGTCTCACCTCAGATAAGGCAAGTCTCACCTCAGAAACACAAAAATGGTTCAACACCAAGGTCAGATCCTCATATTGTCTCACATGCGTGCTAACATTTAGAATTATTTACACACATACAAACTATATAGAATTTCAGCACTGTCCACAAATAGCCAAACTACACTATTTATTCACTAGTCTTAATGCTGGTACAATCAAGGCTTCCCAGATTTTATGTGTGTTGATAACCCAAGTCAAATCATTATAAGACTTTTAAAGTAAGTTCAAAATATTTAAAAGATTAAGAGTTCATACATAAATAGACAAGCTGCTATACTCAACTAGAAAGACAAGTATTCAGATAAAAGCAGATCAGCTGATATTTACAAGAGATGACCACCTTGAGTTACTGCACTAAATAAACTTGTTCACAGAATTTAGTTTCGAGTACAAGACAGAACAACAAGACAATGAACAAGACACAATAATGAGACACAATTACAAGACACAGTGACTAGTCTATGGAGAGGATTACAACCATCAATTAAATAATTAATCCAATAATTTACAAAACCAAAAATGTTTTTTTTTTTACAAATGTACACGTTTTTTCTCCAACTACCCCACACAAACATGACAATCATAAATACAATCATACAGTTTACTTATTTTATCACTAAAAAATTTTTACAATTGTTTCCAAATGAATATAAACTTATGTTGGCCAGTTTAGAGTTTACAGAAATAGGTTAAATATAAACTAAAATAAAACAAGACTGGTGTATAAAATAACTTCTCACCCAGAAAATATCACTGTAAATACTGCATTAAACGAAAACTGATTATCTCCCTTGACAGGAAGAGCAGAAAAAACATGGTGGAAGAAATAAATGAATGGGGGAGGGGTGATGTATGATACAGGTTATAAACAAAGTTTTGTGGGACTGTTTTCAGATGCAGGACTATCAAAATTGTAGTCCTCTAAACTATTTTCTATCATCAGCTTAGGAAAATGAAACAGCTACATTGATTAAAATAGATCTTAGTGACACAGTCTGATCTGTAGCAGATATAAATGCTGATGTTCAGCTTTAAATCAATAATAAGCAACCAATGAGAAGCACTGGTGCAGACATTGAAACATAACAGCCATCGTGATTGGCTAAAAGAATGAGCAGTTCAGGGAAGCCTTTGACACAAATGTCAGATTTGGATTGTGTGGAGGAAGAACAGCTTCACATGAACATAGTTGAGCTTATGCAGGCTGTTACCACTGATAATAATTCACCATTCACACTGATCGTATAATCATTTTATATTGCATATATTACATCTTAATTTCTTAAAATAATTAACTAAATTAAAATGAACTTGAAGGAGTTGTTTTTCTACAAACAGCAATAACTTAAAAGTATTGTAGAATGTCACAAGGTAGCTTTAACTTAACCACTGGCTAGTATAAAACAAAAACATTTAAATGTTTTTATTGAAACTATGTTGTGTTAACCATCCACAGCAAATCTTCAAGGGTGCATTTTTTAGTGAACATTTTATTTTCTAACAAGCTGCCTGATAACACCATCTGGTGTTAATGTATTTTTTTTTGTGCTGATAAAACTTTATAAACAATTCAAAATTGTTTTCGGTGGTAAACACTATGTTTGAAAAAGTCCATCTTTTTAAAAACTAGCATAAATTCATATTCTTATGAAACAAAATGTTGACATATCTAATAAATGAAAAAAGCAACCCACAGTTCTGAGCAAAGTTTACAAGTTGACATGAACAAACTCTCCAAACCGAATGCTATAATGTTTCATAATCACCACCAGGACTTCCTAAAAATGCTTCAAGGTCATTGTCAGCATCAAGTGCATCGTCTTTTTTCTTTTTCTTCTTTTCCTTCTTCACCGTCGCCCCTCCTTTACTGGTCTTCTCTTTCTTGCCAGCACCATCTTTTTTCTTGTCCTCTTTCTCCTTCTTTTTCTTGTGTTTCTTCTCTGTTTTATCTTCATCCTGTGACAAACACAGGCAGTTAGAAAAAAGGATTTATACTGGGAACATGTACATGGAATAGCTCATGTTTAAACGTAGTGTAAGCATAGCGCTGACCACAATCTTAATGCTGAGGTCATACAAACAGGTGGACTCTATTTCAAAAGGGTAACTGTTATTTGTTTTTTTTTTAGTTTTGAGCAGTTTAAAAAAAATTGCCCATGCTAAAATTACCTTATCGTCTGATTTCTTCTTCTTTTTCTTTTTTATCACATTCGGTGGGTTTTCTGACTCTTCTATATCTGAAGAAATTTTCTCTGGAAAGAAAAATTATAAACTTCAATGAATTAACTTCAATAAATAAAAACAATCCTGAGTGTATATTTAGGGACCAAAGTTTGTGCTGCTGACAAATGCTGACCAATACTTACTGACTTTATATGTGCGACTATGATCATCCGAGTCATCATCATCATCATCATCAACCTCCACCTTTTTCGCCACCTGTTTCTTGGAAGGTTTCGCACTGACCTTCACAGCCTTCTCTGTGGGCTGGGATGAGGGCTGGGATGTGGGCTGTGGGAGTGAATTTGATCGTTAGATTACCATTTTAATTAATTTGTCTTAAAGACTTGTAGCAATTAGCAAGTTCTGATTATTTAAAAATTTTTTTACAAAAAACTTTCTGCTATTGAATACAGCAAGTGTGTAAAGTGTGGTTGACATATCACTATGTAAGCATGGGATTATGGGATCTAGTGCCTAGTTTAAACTTGGTCAGATGGGTAGTTACCTCTGACACATCAAACTAGTTACCTCTGACACACCAAACTAGTTACCTCTGATAAACCAACATAGTTACCTCTGACACACCAAACTAGTTACCTCATACAAACCAAACTAGTTACCTCTGACACACCAAACTAGTTACCTCTGACACACCAAACTAGTTACCTCTGACACACCAAACTAGTTACCTCTGACACACCAACTAGTTACCTCTGACACACCAACTAGTTACCTCTGACACACCAAACTAGTTACCTCTGACACACCAAACTAGTTACCTATGACACACCAAACTAGTTACCTTTGACACATCAAACTAGTTACCTCTGACACACCAAACTAGTTACCTATGACACACCAAACTAGTTACCTCTGACACACCAAACTAGTTACCTCTGGCACACCAAACTAGTTACCTTTTACACACCAAACTAGTTACCTCTGACAAACCAAACTAGTTACCTCTGAAACACCAAACTAGTTACCTCTGACACACACTAAACAAGTTAATTCTGATGTACCAAACTAGTTACCTCTGACACACACTAAACAAGTTAATTCTGATATACCAAACTAGTTACCTCTGATAAACCAACATAGTTACCTTTGACACACCAAACTAGTTACCTCTGACAAACCAAACTAGTTACCTCTGACACACCAAACTAGTTACCTCTGACACACACTAAACAAGTTACCTCTGATATACCAAACTAGTTACCTCTGATACACCAAACTAGTTACCTCTGACACACCAAACTAGTTACCTCTGAAACACCAAACACCTTTGACTCAAACTGATCCAGCCAGTTGTTCAAATCCTCTTTAGGTAACTCCATTGTGGGCGGGGCAGATTCACCATCACTCTCTGTGACAGTCACAACATCTTCAACCGTGCTGCTGTCCCCACCACTCTCATCCCCACCCTTCTGTTTCTTCTTTTTAACTGCACCATTAACCAATGCACTGTTTTTATTGCTCGTTTTATTGCCAGATTTTGCACCATTTGTAGATCTTGAAGAATTTGAGGCCTGTTTGTCCTTCTCATTCTGAACAACAATTCTCTCCTCTTCATCAGAGTCTGACACCTCAACCTCCGCTGCGGTGACTTTAGATTTCTTCAAAGATGTGGAATGTGACGACTTTGTGACAGAACTTTGCGATGAGCTATTTTTAGATGAGTTTGTTTTCACGGGTGGCCGGGCAGGCTCGTCGTCGCTGGTCAAGTCTTCGTCCTGCTGGACAGCCATGTTGTGTCTATTGTCATTGTCCTCATCATCTGTATCAACGCGGCTTTTAATAACTTTAGAACTTTTGACCGGTGCTTCGTCCTCTGATGATGTGTGCGTGGCTACAGCCTGGGTTAAACCGGCTGGGGTCTGTTCATCCTCAGAGTCAAGGTCATCTTGAAAACCTGCTACCATAGGATTCACTTCATCATCTTCGCTGCAAGGACAAAGTCATCAGAGAGTTAGTTCTAGCTGATTTAATGAGAGATGGTTTAATTCAATCAGAGAAATATTGAGGGATAGTTGGTATAAAGTAACATTGGATAGAATAATGTGAGATTTAATTTTCTATTTGATAAAATATCGAGGGATAGTTGGTATAAAGTAGCATTGGATAGAATAATGTGAGATTTCTATCTGATAAAATAGTGAGGGATAGTTGGTATAAAGTAGCATTGGATAGAATAATGTGAGATTTAATGTTCTATCTGATAAAATAATGAGAGACACAGAAGAATGATGAGTTTAATTTAATCAGAGGTATAATGAGATAATACAGTATAAAGTAACACTGGATCAAATAAAGCAAGATTTAAAGCGTCCATTTGATACAATGACAAGAGAGACTGAAGAATAATGAGAGACTAGCAGAATGTAAGAAAACTACTGGACTAAGTTGTTTCCTCAAAATAATTATAAAAAAGGCAATAAAAAGATTAATTTTTAAAATATCATAGAACAATATAATGATATTTGTTTTCCTGTTTTCTAAATGACAAAGAACTCAGCAACCTATGGAGATATGGAGCCCAGATTTTGTAGATTGACTCTTACATTATTTTACTAATTCCCCAACTTGATAAAAACTGTACCTGTCCTCATCGTCAACTTTCCCTGTATCTTTCAGCTGCACATCTTTGCCATCATCCAGGAAACCAATGTCCAGTCCATCCAGGTCAGGAACAAAATCTTCTACACTTTTCATGGTCGGCTGCCCAGAGTCAGAGGATGGTAAATCTGGACACGATAAAAAAAAACATTTTTTACAAAATGGCTGATGTAAGAAACTACCACAACTTGATAAAAATTAAAGGTGACCAAGGTATGCACAAGTAAAAAACAGTGGCGAAAAATGCTCAGTTGCTGATATAGCTAGGTGCTGCTAGTTACCCTTATAGCTAGGTGGTCAAAATTTACAGTGAAAATATTTAACCAAACAAGTTTTCATCCTAGAACCCAAACAATAACTCTATGCACTTCCACTGTGTGGGACAGCATGGTTGGATGGTACAGCACTCAAGTTCAGATCCTGGCATAGTCCGTAGGACCTCCCTGAGTCAACTCAGCTCAGGTAGGTACCTGACTCACTTTAGGGAAAGTAAAGGCAGCTGGGTATAGTGATAACTACACTATCCTTTCATAAGCTACGATCACAGAAACATATGAGCTATACTTCATCTACCCCAAGGTATTTTACAGGTGTTGGTAATGTAATAAGCTAGAATCCCTGACCTAATGTAATAAGCCAGAATCACTGACCTAATGTAATAAGCTCAAATCCCTGACCTAATGTAATAAGCTAGAATCCCTGACCTAATGTAATAAGCCAGAATCACTGACCTAATGTAATAAGCTCAAATCCCTGACCTAATGTAATAAGCTAGAATCACTGACCTAATGTAATAAGCTCAAATCCCTGACCTAATGTAATAAGCTAGAATCCCTGAACGAATGTAATAAGCTAGAATCACTGACCTAATGTAATAAGCTCAAATCCCTGACCTAATGTAATAAGCTAGAATCCCTGACCTAATGTAATAAGCTAGAATCCATGACCTAATGTAATAAGCTAGAATAACTGACCTAATGTAATAAGCTAGAATCCATGACCTAATGTAATAAGCTAGAATCACTGACCTAATGTAATAAGCTAGAATCCCTGACCTAATGTAATAAGCTAGAATCCCTGACCTAATGTAATAAGCTCAAATCCCTGACCTAATGTAATAAGCTAGAATCACTGACCTAATGTAATAAGCTAGAATCCCTGACCTAATGTAATAAGCTAACTACAATGACAGGAATGTCGGAGAAATCACTGACCTAATGTTTTGGGTGGAATCACAGCTGCCGTCTGACTTTTGCTGCCCTTGAACAGACGTGAAAATAAGCCTGACTTGGCTGTTTCAACCTGCGGAGTTGTGGCTGGGGTTGTTGTCTCAGACTGACTGCCCCGGGGTGGATTGGATGCCTGGTCCTGTGGGTGATGGCTGGGGGTGGGGTCAGGCACACTACTTGGGGGTGTGGCTGATATAGTAGGCTGTGAGGTCGACCTGGATACTAAGAGTAGAAACATTCTGTTAAACAGAAATCAAGCAATTTTTAACAATTATTTAATGAAACAATAACTAGTTGTACAATAATTAGTAAATGACCTTTTATTTTGAACTGACACTTCAGCATTTTATTCGTCTTTTCAGATTGTCAAGAAAAGAATTTTATTGCAAGTTTATTTGCCTAGTTGTGATTTTTTAATAAAGCATCCACTTCTCATTTGAAATTAGGAACATAATAGTTTATATTGTTGTTTTTTTAAAGTTCCCATGAAAAAAATATAGTTTTAAATGTCTGAAGTTTTTTACGTATTAGTAACACATAGCACAGCAGTCTAAAACTAGAAAGTTAGAGTTACTTACCCTGAGAAGAGGAAGTAACTGCTGGTCCTGCTGAGCCACTGTTGCTGATTGTTGTGGTGATCTTACCCAGAATTCCCCCACTGTTGGTTGTGACAGGGGGCATGACCACCGGTGCCCCGTCCTTGCCAACCAGGGCGCCAGACTTGTCCTGTTTGATGGCAGCGCTGGAGGTGACTTTCTCCGAGAGTTTCTCCTGCTGTTCCCTGCGCTTCTGGGTCAGGGTGTCCAGGAATCTGATGATGGGTCAGTTAAATAAAACCACTACACCCAACCATCAAAGGTCAATAGCACTAAGGTCAGCAGTATCTTTAAGTACTTAGTAAACTGAAAGGTCATTAGTATTCTGAATCAGGGTCAGTAAACAATTTAAACTCAACATAATATACTTGGTTCAAAATATCAGCTTGAAGTTCACATTTTCTTCAAAGAAAGTTTCACCTTTTTTTTCTTCTCACTAATTCAAATGTGAAAAAATGTTTATCTATATCATCAGGCATATAACAAGACTCACATGTCATAGTTCACAAGTCATAGGTCACAAGGTTCACATGTCATAAGTCACAAGACATCCATGTCATAAGTAAAAATTGTCATGTGTCACAAGACTCAGACACACGAGTCACATTTGAAATGTCCCAAGACAACCACGTCATATGTCACAAGACACCAATGTCATGAGTCAACAGGACTCACATGTCATAGTTCTGTTCCTCAGAGTCCTCATGGATCTCCAGCTCCTCCACTGTAGACAACATGTCATTGGTGTTGGTCTCCAGCTGTTTCAGCAGGGTCTCTCTCTAGACAAGACACATAAAGACACAATTAAATATGGGCCAAGACACAAGCAAAGACACAATTAAATATGGGCCAAGACACAAGCAAACATTAACCAACACACTAAACCAAACCACAATCAAACATTAACCAAGACACTATCAAACTTCACCAAGACACAATCAAACACACTATTTCTTTAAACCCACAAGTTTTATGACTTCTTCTTCTTCTTCTTCGTTCTTAATTATTAGTGTTGAAGGGGGTCGAGATTTATCTGCCAGTGGGTTTGAACTCGAGACTTTGTTCGAATTTATCAACCATGATCTTTTTGCCGACTCGACCACGCCTCCAACACAATTAAGCGTTACGTGTCAACTGGTTATGCGCCATTGAGGCCATTGACTCCGATTTCAGCCTGCTTTTCTTTTTGGATTTGCTTCCATAGCCTTTGTCCAACCAAGAACAAACTACAAGGCAGCAGTTGTTTGATTTTGGAGTTGTCTCTCCTAGAAAAGTGGCTGTCCCCAGCTAACGAGCCTCATCTGCCCGAGGGTTCGAACTCGAGACTTTTCGGTTTAGCAACCATGAGCTATACCGACTCGACCACGCAGACCCCTAGTTTTATGACAAAAACGTACATTTGTTTAATATAAGTAATGAGTTTTTAAATCATAATTCACCAACTCATTCAAAATGCCACTTGTGGTGAAATTATCCAAAAATACCAAATCAATATAAAAACACAAATTTCAAAGTTCAGAGTATTTTAAAATCAAAGTTTTTAGCACTTGTAGTAACTCTACAAGTCAAGAATTAATACATGTAATCACCTGAAGTTGCAGGAAAGGTAAATTGAAAAACATGTGAAGGTATTTTAAACCAAATCCATTTCTCATTGAAGATTCAGCATAGCGGATCTTACCAGAACCTTCTGGCCTAAGGAAGAAAGAAGAGTTAGCTGTAACAAAAATGGTCTCATTTTTTCACTAGGTGTAAAAGAGATGGGTAAAATGGCTGTGTTGTAGTGTGCAAGACCACAAGTCTTATGGAACCAGGTTCCAATACAAGTCACATTGTGCTTGTGACTTTCCATTATGCACAATTCTACCCACATTTAATAAGTATTTAGCCCTAGGAATGCTAGAACTGCTTTGTTTAGGCAACAAAATTCTTTTAAGTATAAAAATCTTTTAAACAAGTGAAACTTAGAACTATGGGAAGATTAACATTTCTCTATGAAATAGGATGGCCTCTACAACATTGATGTTGAAGTTATAAGACATCTGTCAAAATTATTTGAGCAATGTGAAACAAAAACTTTAACGAATATTCTGTGCTGAGTATTGGAATGACAACCAATCTGGCATTGAATGCACAAAACTCTGGCAACTAACCTGTCTCTCTGGAACTGTTCAACAAGGTACCGAGCTTTCTCTTCAGTCACTGTGCGATGGTGTCCCATATCTCTATGGTTACCAAGAACCAGTATTGGAAGCTGGCTTGGGACTTTTTCCATCTCTCGTTCCACATATCCAAAGGTCCTACAACAATTCATGTGTAAAATCAAGCCATTCAAAAGTTTTTTTTTCTTTTTCACTTTTTTTTTACTAAGTTAGTAAAAAATTTAAAAACTGACTTACTCAGTAATAAACCAACTTGTGGGTGAAATAGTTGTTTTAATTTTAGTCTTATACAAATGACTTATCATAAATACTGTAAACTAAATAATTTTAAAATGCACTCACCACTGTTTTGTTATATCAAACACAAAGACGACCCCATGAGTGCCTTTGTAAACATCTAAAAACTCAGCATCTAGACACGGTTCTTCTGGAATCTGAAAACAAAATGTGCCACCATCAGAACAAGGGAGCTCTAGAATACTGTTAGTCAGTAAACTACCCATGGAGGTCTTTAACTTCTGTGCACATTAAGGAATTAAGTTGTCAGCGTCATTACTTTCCATGACTATTGCCAGGAACTCGTTAGTGGTTGTCATTCAAGTGTTCTTTCACTCAACCAGGCTTTGCCATTTTATTTTGGTATAAGAAAGGTATACCCAACCTCTGTAGCATATTTACAAGATATATTAAAATGTTTGCAAGATAGAAACCAGCCTACGTTTATATCAGAGTTATCCATCTTCAGCCCATCAAGCTTGCGTCGTTTCCTGCCTTTGTCCACCACGTCCCAAACTTCCACTTTGACGACATCGTCCGTAGCTCTGTAGTTCCACTGGATGGAGGTCACCTGAAGAGTTACACAACTGGACATTCATTTCATGCATTGTACACAAAAACAGTGCGAGACATAATGTTTTACTATATTTATGATGTTGATCATTAAAAGGTATTAATCTACAGAAATTATCATATGTTTTACATTTTACTAAAGGATGATTTAGTGATATCTGAGTTAACAATTTATATTCTTAATACATTAAACTAATTTCCCTGATTATTTTATATACATTATGTAAAATGATAAAACTTTGGATGTTTTTCAGTAAGTTGTTTATAGAAATTATTTCTGATAAAGATTAAATTTGAACCTTTACTATTTAATACTCCTATCAGTCTTTTGTTAAATATAATTTTCCTGTTACATATGTACAATCAATGATTATCATAATCACCATATTTAATATTCTGATTGGAATAAAATGTACTGTTTCATATTACCAAGGTTGAATTACATTTCCATATACGGTGTATAGTATGTCTATAATCTTTACAAAAAACTTAACAAACCTGAATTTCATCAGTAGGAATGTACTCTTCTTTAAACTTCTGTCCCTGAAGTCTATAAAACAAACACGTCTTGCCTACATTTTTGTCTCCCCTTATTACAATTTTCACTGTAAAAAATGTTATCTTTCCATAAGTAATAGACAAAACATATAACTATAACCTATTAACACAATAATTAGTGGAGAATATATAGTAAAAATATCACTATGACTAACCAAGAACAAACACAAAATCAAGTCATACACATACACTAATTTTAAAAAAGGAAATAGTGTAGTAGTGTAGCCACACATGATGTACGATATAAAATACTTACTATTGTATTGCACCCCTTTAGCAAACCGCCTCTGCAGCTGTGCCCCCATGGTCTGCATGCCATGAGGGGGTGTGCCTGGTGATCTAGCATCGTCAGGGCTTTTGTTGAGTAACCGTTTAAACAGCGACATCTTCTCACACCTTCCCTCAAATTTCAGTCATATCTGATACAAACAATGTCAGGGCTGGATAAATGCATTACACAAAAAAAGAATATCACAAAATGATTCAACATTTTAAAGAGATATTAATTATCTTTTAAATTGTTGAAATTTTTGGGACACTGAATTTAAATTTGGAATTAATATAATCGCTTGTAATTTTGCAATGATAAACTTGTTCTCTCTAATCTGTCTAGCAAGATAAGTAGGGTAGCTGCCTTCTCATTTATTAGTTTAAAGCAATAATAATAAAGTAATTTTAAATAAGTCGACACTATGCTTGCTAGCTATTTTAATACATTACACATGGTCTCTTGATTCAGCTTTAAATGTAGCTTTAAGTGTAAATTTGGTCTGAAATCTATTTGGCCTTGACTTAGATTTTAGAATTTAGGTTTTTGTGTTTTATCTTAAGATTAGAAAGTTATCAACAAGGAATATCCTCAACAGGCTGAGGAAGACTAGAAGGGTTTTCATTCATTCCCATTGACAAAAACATAACTAAGTAAGACTGCCTACTCAATCGCTCACTGTTCAATTCCATGAGTCATTTTGTTTTGTTAAGCCAAGCAATGAGACACTCATTTCATTATTTTATTAATACTTTCATACAAATAGGGCATAATAATTATAAATAACTAAACTGTTTTGTTGGTGGTTAGATTTATTAAATTTAAACTATTTAAAAAATTAATAGCTGTGGGAGTGTGGAGCGTACATTTGCACTTTTATTTTAATTCAATTTTAAGCACTTGGACAATAACTGTAGTACTGTAGTACAAGAAGAAGTATTTTGGTAAGAAGTAGATCTAGAATCTAAATCTAGTACTCTCTAGTAGACAAGTAAAATTCTTAGCGTTGGAATTTTTTGTTGACACTTTTACTACTCCGTGAGCCTCTGTCTTTTTTTTTTTCTCTCATTTATTCCAAAATAAAAATGATTCATTAAATTGTTATTTGTTTTATTATGTGTTTAGAAAATTTACCTAAAGCAACTCAGCTCTTATAGAAAACCATTACACACTACTGCATTGAATAGAACTTAAATTATATAGTATCATACATATGTGAATAATTTCGTTGTCGTTTACGTTTCCGATGTTTTTTCCACCATCTTAATTTTAAACAGGAAGCTGTAACCACCCGCTGTAAAGTATCGATCAATCTTGTTTTTGCTCACAAACTTATCATCCAAAACAATGTCTCGTCTACATTATTTTGTTTTAATTTGTAACATTTAATTTAAACTAACATTGCATTTAGCATTTTAACTAGTGGCTTAGTGGTAACTGTAATCATTTGATGAATTTAATTGTTTAGGCATCCTAGATATATTTAACTAATAAATCTTCACCATTAATATGCAATTTTAAAAAGTGTTTTGAATATATTACAGGGATACTCTTAATACGGGCTTAGGTAACGCTAATTCAACCCAGCCATCCTAGCATTTTTATTAGTCTTTCTAAATTAAATTCTACTTACTGCCATTTTCATTTATTTTAGCAGGGGAGGCTATTTGTGAATAATATGGTCTGGTCAATTTACTGATTATTACCCTCTACCAATGTTTTTTTTTAAATTTTAACAAGGTGGCCACAAAGTTTGTAGTTCTACATAGTGGCCAATACATTGTGGACAATGGCCAATAAAATTTTAGATAGTGGCCATTTAATAGTGCATGGTGGCCAATGACTTTGAAAATGTAACTATTAGGCCTACTTTTGGATTTACGCCTTATTTGAAACAAAACAATATCGGCATGTTTAGATCTAGGATTTAACACACACATACACACACATTCGTAACACTATAATGTAAAAGAGTGTTTCAGGCCTAAGTGTATGACACAAATTTGGTGAGAGGAATCGGGCCAAAAAAAAGCCGTTGGTGGAGTGGGGCGACGCCTTAATATGACACTCGACCTAGTGACGCCTAACCACCCCCCCCCCCCCCCATGTTCCCTCTAAGCTGTGAGGTTGCGCGGCCGCGCAGTAGTTTTGAGCTGCCGCGTGATTCTGTAAACTAAATATATCCTTGTATAAGACTTTTAGAACATCGCATACAGAAAATACATTTTGCACACTAGCTTTTTCCCCTTATAGGGAATGTTGCCCCCTCCCCCCATTCCCCCCACACCCCCGTATACTCTAGCTCAGGGGTCTCCAAACTACGGCCCGTGGGCCGGATGCGGCCCGCGAGGTCCTCTCATCCGGCCCGCGGAGATCTTTTTGTCCAGGAAAAAAACGTTTGTTGGTAATGGCTGAGGAACTTGGCCCAGAAAAATCAAAGACATGCCTGGAAGAAACTGGCCCCCGAACTGAAATTTGATAGTTAATGTGGCCCTCGGACTGAAAAGTTTGGAGACCCCTGGTCTAGCTGAAGTACCCATTGAAATTACCAATTTGAGAACCCTTTATCTACACCTTCTATAACACTCTCAATGCATGCCAGTGTTCTCACCAGTAGGCACTCTCTCGCGTTGACTCGCGAGATCAAAGGGAGAGAATATAGTTTACCGAGGTTCTTTTCATCATCCCTATACCAGGGGACAGAACTCAGACTTTAAAAGGGGCAGACAACAAACAGCTTTAATTAGGGGGATAAGAAGGGGCTCGTGAGTGAAGTTTACCAAAAAGACATATCACGCAAACGTCTCAATGTTGTGAGAATTTCTTTTTCTTTGATTCTGAGCTGGGTTTTTTCCTGACTTTTCTCAATCGATTGGAGAACGGATGGTGGCGCATTCGAGTGCTAACCCGAAAGTCTAAAGATTGAGTCCCGGGATCTTGTTTATAGACATCCCTGAGTCCACCAAGCTATGATGAGTACCGGAATTACGCTAGGGAAAGTAAATGTGGCTGGGCAGAGGCCTAGCGACCCTTCCCGGCGCCCGGGGACAAACTTTTCCATTTGCACCCCCCCCCTCAAACTTTCGATTGCACACCCCCCCCCCCTCTCAAACTTTCGATTTGCCCCCCCCCCCTTTCAAGATTTCGATTTGCACCCGCCCCTCAAACTTTTGATTTATTTTTCCAACCCATTTTGGCGCCCCCTAAGGTCGGCGCCCGCGTACATATGTCCCCCCCTCTCGCTACGCTACTGTGGCTGGGCACAGTGCTAACCACATAAAACATTGGTTACTGAAATAAGTGAACTCTACTTCAGTTCACCCCAACGGAACTTCAGGTTCGAAATGGTGCTTTTAATTATTTTTCTTTACTTGTATGCTCAACCGATTAGACACAACGCCACATTAAATTATCAAGGTCAGCATATCTGATGCCATGATAGGATTTTAATCAACCAACGAGCCGACTGGATAATTTGTAATCACGTGTTAGAACTATTGGACATTCTTTTTCTTGTTCTCATTGAAATAGCGTAAATACGATGTTTGTTTTTTCTTCTGGTGTAAATTACAATGGATGAAAGTGTAGGCGCATTTTGAAACAATTTCACAATGTTGAAAAATGTTCTACATCGTCGTTGTGTCTTATTATTCTTTAGAATCAATTAAATGTTTGTTTGTTGTTTGTTTATATATATATATATATATATATATATATATATATATATATATATATATATATATATATATATATATATATATATATATATATATATAATACCTAGCCGTTTATTAAAAAACATATATAAACATAATCATATCGCACATTACTGACATAACTGATGGTGAAAATATTTTACTCAAAATTACAAATATCTATAGTTGGTCTAAACAAAACAGAGGAGCTACAATACAATCATTATCTTTTAGATTAGAGGTAAAGGCCTGTCCCCTTGGGTTTCAGGCTAAAACCATTCCAGTTCACTGGATCACATTAAGTGTCAAATATATCATTTTAATTTACATTACATCGTGATGTACAAAACTATAAATACACCGTATAAATTATAGTGCTTGTATTTGTAATTGGGTGGATTAAAACTGAAATGACGCAAATGAGCTCATTAATTATTTACTCAACTCCGGAGTTACAGTACACCAGTACACTTTTAAAAGTCCAGCACTTGTTAGAGTTTTAATATATAAACATTTGTGTCTGTGAACACTAGTTAGTGGACGGACGGATCAGTTCTCTATTCTCTTTATATATATATATATATATATATATATATATATATATATATATATATATATATACTAATATATAATTGAGAACTAATTTAAAATCTAGTTTGTCTGATAGACTCTTGGATCGCCGTCGTAGGTACAACTATGTGCTAAGGTTATGGGAATATCGTATAGTAGGAGCGGATAAAAAAATTTGATATCCTGATTTAATCAGACAGAGAGACAGACAGACAGGCAGGCAGACATACATACAGACAGCAAAATTCAGATGAGACCCAAAGAAATCATTATAAAAAGTTTGTTACATTTGTATCGGGCTCAATAAAAATTAATTCGTCTGTGCAATTCGCAAATGGGCCTTTGTCTGGTGCACTTAAAAAAAACAACAACACAAGTACAGTGACGTAGCGACCCCTACCGGCCCATGGGGCGAACTATCAATTTTGCGCCCCCATCCATTTTTGTATAGCTATTCATGAAAGACACCCACCCTCCCTTTTCTAGGTGGGGGCGCTTTTTAAATTCCCTGTCACTTGTACGATTTTTGTTTCGCATAATTGATGAATAATTCGGTAAAATCAGTCAGTAAAACATAGTGGCAGTCTATTTTCTTAACTTTGACTGTGAATATTCTAGTACTACAGATCAGAATTAGCTCTTAATTTTTTTGTCTACCCAGTTTAGCGCCTCCATTGTGCAGGTGCCCGGGGCGGCCACCCCACCCGCCCTCCCTTAGCTACGCCTCTGAACAAGGATCAACGGATCACATTTGTGACTAAATTGATAAATGATTTCTGGTTTTATCAAACGATCGTCTCGTGCCAGCAGTAATCGCCGTTTTATCACTTCGTCTACACAGACCGCCTGCTGACTCGGCCAACATTATTTGGGCGGCGTATCGATACCAGAATGTCATGCATCACAATTCAAAGAGCCGTTAGTAATCGATACCATAATAAACAATGTGATTCGTCGACGATTTCAATAGGGGGGATGATAGAGAAATTAGCATACGGGATATCTCATTGTTCGTTAGCTCCGAATGGAACAGCAATGATTCATTAGTCGAATTGCAATGTATGTTTATCAAAATAACTGTTCACGTTAAAGCGTTTCGTTTCATCTTGTTTTTTTTTTTCATTTGAAACTACATGGGATATGATTTTGTTAAAGATAATGATTTTACAATTCACTTCTTTGATTATGTGTTATGATAATGACACAATAGCATACATATTTTGCAAAACGATATTTTTTAAAGAATAAAGAGAAGGCAGGACATGTTTTGTTAAAGTATTGAATGACGCTCATAAATATTTGATGATGATTCGTGGGCTAAGGCAGGGGTCGGCAACCTTTTGAAACGGAAGAGCCAAAAGCTACAATCTACAAAATCTCCCAGACTTTAAAGAGCCACTAACATGTGTATGTGCACTTCGGTAGTGGAAAGCTTGGAACCATTGTCACAGAGCTGGCCACAGCATAGTTGTGGGGCTGGGCCTAATGCCCTAGACTGTCAACTGTCCATATACACTCTACTCCACCTATTCTCATTGTTTTTTAATTTCGTTTAAAGTTTTTGTTTTTACAGTATAATTTTTTTTTTTTGAGATTCTATAATAATTGAATATAATTATGATAGAACTAGAGAGCCGCATATTGACATAAAAAAAAACGCATGCAACTCGCGAGCCGCAGGTTGCCGACCACTGCGTGCGAGTAATTTGGTTACCACAAGAAATCTTGTATAAATGTTTTGAGAAAAATTTTCTTTGACTGCTAATGTATGATAATAAGGAATTCTTTTTATTAAAAAGAAGTTATCTTACATAATTACTAGTTTCGTAATTTAATTAGGGGTATTTTTTCTATTAATATCAAAAAACTTTTAAAGGCAGACAAAATTATTACATACATTTTATTAATACTTATAGAAAAGAAATAAAAATCAACAAGGATTTACATAATTGTTATATTTCCACTGGGGTATTGGTATTTTTGGTCAATTTGATAACATAATTT